CTCTCGGCGTTATCTCTTGCCGTTGCCCCTCCCTCTTTACTCATTAACCCCGGGCACAGCCTGGCTAGTTATTTTAAATAGGACCCCCGACCTTTCCACCAAGGTGTCCAGTTTCAGGACTTCACTGGGGAAGTGCTGGAGTGGAGGGGGAGAGAGCAGAAAAGGAGGGGGCGCTGGAGGGAGTGGAGGCCCGGGCACTGCGGGCACTGCTCCCGCGGCGCTGGCCACAGCCCACATGACTCTCTCTTACAGGTCACCACTGGACATATGAAGGTGAGAGCAGAACTCCAGATGGCCTGGCACACCTTTCACCCTGGGACCCCCTCACCTGACATGAAGACTTGTCCTGGGGAGGAGGAAGAGCTTCCCTTGAGCTTCACACACTAGCCCCTGTCTTCTGCAGACACCACACAGGCACATGCCCTGGGGTTTGCACATGTGGCTGCTAGACCCTGCTCTAACCATTAAATCCCACGTCTGCTGATTCAGCAAAAAGGCCAATGAGTCCGCCGTCAATCTGTGTGGGAATGAAGCAGCCTGGGTGGGGAGAGGCACACTGCGCTCAGCGGCCACTCTTCTGGCTTTCTCCCCAACAGTCCTACCCGCCACCTGTCTGAAACTGGACAGAGCGTGAGGTCAGGAGGAAGAGGCTGGCAGGATACTATGACTCTAGGGACAGTGGAACTCAATCCCTTTGAACGTCTGATTAGTGACCTATCTGCAGTCAAAGCAAGGTCCAGTGTGAGAGTAAGGAGTGAGTGATAGAAAGGATATCTGGACCCCAAGACTACTTGACAGGGAGCGGTTGTTAGGGTCAGTTGTCCCCCTTGAATTCTACCTCTCCGGGTATTCAGGCTTTCTATTTCCTCTTCCCTCCTTCAAGCTTCATTGTTCTCAAACTCCAGGTGAGTGAAAGCTACCACTCTCCCACTAATTAGGGTAGCTGGAGAATCACCCCTGCTTCTGGGAGGCGAGGGGCGCTGCAGCCTAGAGTGCAGTGGAGACTCCCCCCTCACCCAGCCCTGCCCAACTGGGTGGCGAGAGGAGATCTCTACTTCCACTATAACATGTGCAGTATGGGGGGGTGCTAAAGGGTGGCTGGGGCTGTGGGCTGGCCAAATGCCCATGGTAACTTACTCCTCCACCAGGCCCACATGGTCAGGACCACTGGCCAACCTCTTACCCTGAGTGTGGAGGCAATGCCCAGTCCCCCATCGACATCCGGACAGACAGTGTGATGTTTGACCCTGATCTGCCTGCTGTACAGCCCCATGGATATGACCAGCCTGGTATCGAACCTCTGGAGCTACGTAATAATGGCCACACAGGTAAAAGACCTGACTCCCGGTGACTGCAGGCTCTAGCCCAGATCTTAAAAGAGCCAGAGGAAATAAGACCCCTAATCTGCAAAATCTTAGAATACTCCATTAATTAACATGGACAAATGAGGTTCAGAGCCGGGCAATGGTGGTCCACACCAGCACATGGGAGGCGAAGGCGGAGGCAGAGGGATGTCTGTGAGTTGGAGGCCAGCCTGGTCTACAGAGCGAGTTCCAGGACAGCCAGAGCTACACAGAGAAACCCTGTCTAAAAGAGATTCAGGCTCTTGCAGGCAAGGTGGGCTTGAATGTCCATGATCAAGTTCAGTGTGCAGGAGAGTGCTGTAGTACTGACTTGCCATCAGCAGAGAGGCCACCCTGTCAGAAAAGCCACAGCCTTTAGAGGAGCCAGGCAGTTCTGGGAGGAGAAGGAAGAGAAGAGCCAAGTGTCATGGTGGCAGGTCGGGGTGGGAACTGTCCACACTCCCCCACCGACCCTACCTTGTTCTCCTCACAGTACAGCTCTCCTTGCCCCCTACCCTGCACCTGGGGGGACTGCCCCAGAAATACACAGCAGCCCAGCTCCACCTGCACTGGGGTCAGAAAGGATCCCAAGAGGGCTCAGAGCACCAGATCAACAGTGAAGCCACAGCCGCAGAGGTACCGACTGGGACTCGGGATATAGAGGGCGCCGGTCCGTTGACCGTGGAGAAAGGATGGGTCTGAGCCCTTGAAAAGTCAGATTGAGGGGCTGGAGAGATGGCTCAGAGGTTAAGAGCACTGACTGCTCTTCCAGAGCTCCTGAGTTCAATTCCCAGCACCCACATGGTGGCTCACAACCATCTGTAATGAGATCTGGTGCCCTCTTCTGGCCTGCAGGCATACATGCTGTATACATAATAAATAAATAAATCTTTAAAAAAAAAAGAAAAAGAAAAGTCAGATTGAGGGGAGAAGGCAAAGCTTTAGGGGCAGAGCCTTGGGTTGGGGGATTGAGGTGGTGACCTAAGTCAAAGCCCTGGGAAGAATGAGGAAGCACCAAGTAACTCGGTCCCCTTCTTCCTCCCCACAGCTCCACGTGGTCCATTATGACTCGGAGTCCTATGGCAGCCCGAGTGAGGCTGCTCAGAAGCCTCAGGGCCTGGCTGTCCTAGGCATCTTAATTGAGGTCAGTTCCCCCCAAGCCCTCTCAGGTCTCTCTCCACCCTTTATTTACACTCCTCAGGCCGTTCTTTGCCTGCCTTTCTGTACTATTTACCCCATGCACTCTTACTCCAAACACATGCTTCTACCATACACTCCCTTCACAGGTGGGTGAGACTGAGAATCCAGCTTATGAGCACATTCTGAGTCATCTGCATAAAATAAGACACAAAGGTGAGCCCTAAAAACCTGCAGCAAGAATTCAACTGCAGAGAAACTTTCAAAACCTGACCGAAGAGGCTTTGGGAGCAGGCAGTGGGTTGGCGGTCCAGGAAGGTTGACCATTGCTCTGTTCTCCCTAGATGATGTAACCTTAGTGCCTCCCTTCAGTGTGAGAGGGCTGTTCCCCCAACAACTGGAGCAGTTCTTCCGTTACAACGGCTCACTCACAACGCCCCCCTGCTACCAGAGTGTCCTCTGGACAGTCTTCAACAGAAGGGTCCAGATTTCAATGGGACAGGTGAGTGGTGGGGAGGCGAAGAGCTACTTTAACTTCAGACCCTTGCCCAGGCCCCAGAGTGACTTCTACACTGCTGCTCCTCAGTTAGAAAAGCTCCAGGAGACGTTGTCCTCTACAGAAGAGGAGCCCCCTGAGCCCCTCATACGGAACTACAGAGTCCCCCAGCCTCTCAACCAGCGGACCGTCTTTGCTTCTTTCACCCAAGGTGACTTGCAGGGCTCAGAAGAGGTGGGAAACTGAGGAACTCAAGGCATGAAACAGTCAAGCCCTGGGCAGAAAAGGGCCAAGGGCGGGTTCTCATACTTTAGACTGGGAACCACTCCTGGCCATGGACGCCCAGGTCATTCTCCAGGTGTGTAAGCAGAGCTCCCAAATGGAAAGGTGTTCTGAAACCCCCCTAACCCAAGTTTTCTTCCTCTACAGTGGGACCATTGTATACCACAGGTAAGACAGCCCTGTATGGAAATATGAGGGGTCTTGGTTCCCAGCAAAACTGGAAAGGCTTAGCACCTGTTACACTGGGCTGACATCTTTATCTCCCCAGGAGAGATGCTGGGTCTAGGCGTCGGGATCCTGGCCGGATGTCTCTGCCTTCTGCTGGCTGTTTATTTCATCGCTCGGAAAATTAGGTGAGGTCCTCCTACTTTCTACCCCTGCAGTCCTTTACTTTTGTTCACTAGTATTCTCAGAGGCTGGGCAGCAGTGGTGCACACCTTTAATCCTAGCATTTGGAGGACAGAGGCAGACGGACCTCTGAATTCAAGGCCAGCCTGGTCTACAGAGTGAGTTCCAGGACAGCCAGAGCTACACAGGGAAACCCTGTCTCAAAAAACAAGCCAACAAAAAACAAGAAAAAATGCATTCTCAGCCGGGCAGTGGTGGCGCACACCTTTAATCCCAACACTCGGGAGGCAGAAGCAGAAGGATCTCTGTGAGTTCAAGGCCAGCCTGGTCTACAGAATGAGTTCCAAGACAGCCAGAGCTACATAGAAAGACACCCTGTCTCAAAAAATAAAAAATAAAAAATGTCTCTGGAGCTATGGCTCAGGCGGTGGAGTGCTTGCCTAGCATGCACGAAGCCCTGGGTTTGACCCCTAGCACCACATTAAACCTGGCATGCTGGCACACACTTGTAATCCCAATACTCAGAAGGGGAAGGAGAAAATTTAGGGTCATAATCAGATACTTATTTCCTGTCCTAATCTTCACTTGGGACACTAGTCACTCCCATGAACTACTGTTTATCCTTCCAGGAAGAAGAGGCTAGGGAACAGGAAGAGTGTGGTCTTCACCTCAGCACGGGCTGCCACAGAGGCGTAAGCTGTCTCAAGATGCCATGGACGCCTTCCCCTATACCTGTTAGAGAGCCTCTCTAAGGAGGTGCAGGGACTGAACTACCAGTAGTAGGCAGACACATGCCCTTCTACATACCACCTCCCCACTCATACACCAGAGAAGCAAGGACCCAGCTCTGCAAGGAAGAGTGGAGCCTTTGGCCTTTCGACAACGAAGGTCAGGAGATCCCTGTTTTAATGTTTAGCTATGAAGAAGCTGAGGATAGGCCCTGATATCCCTCCCTTTACACTTTCATGGCCCCTCCCCTAGATACACGTCGTGGATTTTTTTTTCCTCTAGGAAAAAAAGCTGCTACTAGGATTTTAGTTATTTTTTTTGCTCAATAATGTTTGAAAACTCAAGTTTCTGACCTTAATTCTGGTCTGTCTTTTGTGCCTTTGTGGGAGAGTTCCTCTGTCCTCTGGGTGGTAGAGACAGACACAGAGAAGAAAACTGGGGGATTAACTCCTTGTATTCTATTCCTGGACAAGGGGGAATCTACTTCTGGGAAAAATTAATTCAGTTCCTACACGTTAAACCACCAACCGATGCTTCTGATACTACACCAAAGCTGCCATGGTGAACACCGGTTGCCAGGCCAGGGATGAGGATGGACTGGAGCCACCAGGGGCTAGAAATCTCAATCCATTATCCCCTCTCTTGAAAGCCAAGTTCCCCCACAATTATAAAGTCCTTTTTATTAGTCAAAATCACAATCACCTTGATTAAAAGGATGGGATATCCCACCCTCAGCAGAAAAATGACACAGTGATAGAAAACCTCCCCAGCCCTCCCACACCCCAATTAAAAACTAGAAAAAATGTCTGCCCTCTTGGCCTGTAATGCCATGGTAGTCTGACTCCTCCAGGGGCGCTGCCATGGAATGGACCAACCCCCATGGCACCCTCCACTTCACCTTGGGGAGAGGAGGGGTGCTGATGGTCACGGACATTAAAACATGAGTTCCAGTGGTACCAGTTCCCAAACATGCACTTCCTTCCTTTTCCCCAGGGCCTGGGACCAAGGGGAAAGTGGGATAGAAATGAGCCATGATCAGCAGTTTCAGGAGCAAAAGTACAGCCCCACAGGAGGTTAGGAAGCTCCCAGTATACCTCCCCCCCCCACACTTTAAAAAAAAAAAAAAGGCATTTCTGGGGTCATTATCATACCAAAAATGGTTCCTTTCAGACCTGAGAAAAAGACCAAGCTGTCCAGTCTGGGCAGGAGATACTGGAAAACTGAACTCATCTACCCTTGGGCCTCCGGTAACTTCGTCACCAGGGCCATGGCTAACCTAGGTCCCTTTTCTTGGCAACCTGCACTGTCCAGAACTGGAGATGGAGAAATACAGGAGGAGGTCGGGAGGGCACCCCAGGCCCAGGGGTCCCCCCCCATGCTCCCTCAGTCCTCGGGTGGGATGCGCAGGGCAGAATACACCATCACCCGACTGTCCTCCTGCCGTCGGCCTGCAGAGGGGAAGCGGGGTGAGTCATGGGCAGGGTGAGAGCGGAGCACTGACACATGGGGAGACCTGGACAAGGGGCTCCCCAGGTGGTGGGGAGAAATACAGATTCAAACCCACCAGTCCCTGACGGGCTGCACCCAGGCTGTTCTTGATAAAGCTTAGAGACTACAGGTCACAAATGGACAACGCCAAACCCGGAAGGTAGCGGGACACATCAGCGAGGAGACGGAGGACGTGGGCAATAGACCCGGGCTAGGGCTGGGTTCAGTCATGGGTAGTGGACAGGCAGATGGGATCGGTCGGGCGATCAGTCCAGGTAGTCAGTCCTTACACGAGAGACTGCGCTGGATACTTCGGAGGGAGCCTCCAGCTGTGATGAACGCCCAGAGCCCCATGGACACAGTGACTACATAGATCGGCAGCAGGCTGGCCTCATACCAAGGGTTCAGGAATGTCTGAGAACGAGGACAGCAAAGAGGTGAGCTTCTCTCCCCATCAAACCCCAACACTCACTTCGTGCCTCTGACCGAATCTCCCCCAGACTTCCCTTCAAAGCACCAACGTCTTGTAGCTAAGGGAACGTTGGATTGCAGAGTCCCTCAAAGGGTTCAGCTATTCACCTCAGGCCTCCTGCACTGGTCTGACTAAGCACGTCAGGCTCCTCCCCAGAGCAGGTGGCCTAACTGGTGCGGAGGTGGCAGAACGCAGAGACTCACCTCTCTGCCTCCACCCGAGGTAAGTTAATGATATGAAGTGAGACACATGCCCCATCCCACTCACCATGAAATGGTTTCTCCCTGACTCGGCAGGCCCCTATCTCCAACTCACCAGTCCTGACGTCAGCAGGTGACTCCCGACCACCAGGCCCAAAGCCCAGTACCGTCTCCTCTCACAGGCATCAAAGAACACAACTCCCCAAAAGGTGTGGAGCAGGATAATGGCTGCTGTCAGAAAGGCTGCAGGGAGGGAGATGGGGAGGAGATGCGTCCCTGACCTTCTCCCAGCCTCCTGAGATGTTGAGCCAGAGGAGTCTCCCAGGGAAGGTCACTAAATCAGATCGGGGCCAGGGAGGGACGGGGCATAGAGTCCAGATTAGAAGTGAGCCTTACCTGAAGTCAGGAAGTAATAGGGTGAGTCTCCATGGATCCCAACCACACCTGGCCCAAGTGCATCGGCCAAAATATTGATAACAGAGAAGACACCACTGATGATACCGAAGGAGAGACCAGAAACTGGGGGGGAGGGAGGCTCTCGTCAACATCCGAGATCACCACGGCATCCTTACCAGTACCTCCTTCCCCATGCCCAGTGGAAATTCTGCCATACCTACACTCCCTCCAGACCGCCTCTCCTTGGATGTCAAATATGAAGAAAAACACTTAGCACATGCGGATGTTTAGATTACCCTGAAAGGGAGGAGGGGGGTGTCCGACCCCTCCTCTGGTCCCTCTCCCTTGGCTCACCATAGGCCATCTGGCGGATGGAAATGGGTGATCGTCCGTCCTCACTCAGCGATGCTAAGCCCTCATCTGCCTTCCTGGGATAAAAGAGAGGAAATGTAAGGGAGGGCAGGAATGTTCCCTTCCCTCTAATACCCTCCCTTTAATGCCCCTTACTCCAACCGCTATCCAAGGGCTGGCCCGCTTCCCACTGTTCACACCACTGTCCCCTCTCCCTTCCAGACTCCACCTTGTCCTTACTTAAGGAGCTTGTAGTAGGCAAAGCGGAACACTTCCTGTAGAAGGACAGAAACAGCAGCACCAAAAATCAGGAGGCCATACTGGAGCCGGGCATCTGATCGGTCTGTCACATGGACCAAGATGAACCAGACCACAGAGGCCAAGAGCAGGGAGACCAGCCAGAAAAAGGCTCTGAGGAAACACAAGGCAATGAGAGAGGCACGGACAGGGGCAGCCAGGAAAGTCAAGGAGGGAAACAGCCAAGGCTGCAGCATGAAAAGTGGAAGTTGGACTTCCGGATGGTCAGGGAGACGGGGATAGGACAAGTGTCTCCACCAACAGACTCCTCTGTAGGAATCTGCAAGCAGCAGGAGGGGAGGAAATCTGGTTAGAGTCTTCAGTGCGGTGAGAGTCGGTGTGAGGGCACGGACGGACAGGCAAGGTATCCATTCCTGGGTCCTCGCCTGGCCGAGGTCAGCACAGCCCCCTCACTAGCCTCGGCCTTGGGCCTTCTCTGACGTTACCGGGAGGGCTACAGGAGGAATCTGTGAAATCCCTGGAAGGCGGAAGCCGACTGCGGAAAATCGCCGAAACCACGATTTGATCCTGTCCAACCTTTTCCTACTTCTGTCCCCCAACTCAGGCTCCCATGCTGGCCCCAGTTCCTCCAGCTCTGTCTGCATCATTTTCTCTACGCTTGGCCCCGACTCCACCACTCGCTACTCACCCCGCGACCAGGATGATCACCCGAAGCGGGTCTCCAGCCACAGTGATCAGGAAAAGGGCGAAGGCTGGGCCGAACGCGACGAAGGTGCATCCGAAAAACACAGCAGCCCCCATGACTGGGCAGCTGGGGGCGGGAGGGAGCCCCGGCCAAGGGAGGCGAGTGGGAGCCGCGCGCCGGGGGGGAGTCCGCGTGGGGCGGCGACGCAACCCCACGAGGGGCGCGGTGCAATGTCACCCCCGGACCCCGGGGAAGGGGAAGGGGGGGGCACCGAAACCCCGGACGAAGGTCCGCCCGACCTCCTCTACGGAAGCCGAAGAGGGAACAACCCCCGGTCGCTGCCCCATGGCCACCTCCCATCTAATCCCCACCCCCGGAAGGCCAATGAATACTTGATGGGGCGGAACTGCAGAGGCGGGGTCGTGGCAGCACGGCCTTCTGGGAGTTGTAGTCTCCCAATTCTCCGAACCCTCGACTTGGTGCTGGGAGTGGCTCCAGAACAGTGGGTCGGGACTGGGCCCAATCAGGGCAAGGATTCCTTGGTTCTCTTGTGCCTTGGCGACAGTTTCTTTTCATTACTCTGTGGAGAAGGGTGATAACAACCCTACCTGTTTCTAGAAGAGCTTTGGTGGGGAAAGATCCTGTTTGCATCTAGAGACAAATAAAAAAAGAGCCCAGGATAGGGATTGTACAAAGATAGGGACGGGCATTGTTCTTAACTTGAATTAGAGGAAATGGCCCAGAGAAGCGCCCTAAGGAATCAAAGTTGGGCTTAAAAATTGGAGCTCTTTGGCAGCCTCGTATAGGAATTATGTGGTACAGTCTGTCTCAGTTGAAGACTTCACCTGTATTCTAAATGACAGAATCAGAGAAACAAGAGGAGCCAGGAGAGAAATGTTAGGAAAAGGTTTAGAAAGAGTCCAGGAGTCAAAACGCAACTAGAGCAACGAGACAGAAGGGAAATGACACCCCTACCCCCACCCCGAGCCGCTTAGTTCCTTTGATGTCATACTTCCTCTATTTATATTCTGAAAAATAAACTTAAGTGGTGTCTTTTCCTCAAGCTGGGGAGAGGGGTTTCACATTAGAACGATTTCATCACTTGTATGAGGACAGATGGGTCCTTAGGAGGATGCCTAAGCAAAGGAATCCTGCGATGGGATCAGATCTGGAAAATTGTTTTTGAGAGTGTAATCAAAGCAACAACAAACTACAGAAATTGTTTGAAGACAACCAGGCTTCCCTGGAGTCATTTTTTAAAAATTTTCTACATGTGTGCCACTCATACAGAATATCTTTTACACTTCTTTTTCCCAGTAAATTCTGGAAAGAAACTGAGAAACACGTTCGTGCAAAAAGACACCAGGCACACCTTGCCCCATGGTTAGGAGAGTTAAGAAGATGGGAGCATCCTGGCCAGAGTGTCTGCTTCTGAGTTCCGCAGCCTGAGTTAGGGGAAATATGAACAGGACAACTCTTCTTTCACTTCACAAGCTCTCAACGGGGCATCTCCTGACTAGAGAGAGCCGCCTGTAAAACTGTGATTCCACAGACACGTATGTGTTCCAGGGACCCATCTTAGATGCTGAGCAGATATTTATTACATAGGTGGGATTTCTCGAGACAGGGTTTCTCCGGGCTGTCCTCGAATTCACTCTGGATCAGGCTGGCCTCAAACTCAGAGATCCGTCTGCCTCTGCCTCCCAAATACTGGGACCAAAGGGCCGCGACACCACACCTGGTATTGTTTTGTTTTTTGACTGTCTTGTCTGTGAGGTCTCAATTGCCTAACAGACTAAACTTAGTTCATTATGCCTAATAAATATGCTGCTGCTTCTAAATTGAACCGGATGAAAATAGGAAATACCAGAGCAGACAGAACGACAGAGAAGGTGCCTGTGTCTGTAAGTGGGAGACAGGTATGGCGCCTAGCAGGAGGAAAGGTGGTGTTTGCTTCCTCTCTTCTTCCATCCTGTGTCCAAAAAGTTGGGGGGAAGGGGTGAGGCCAACACGAAGTGGAGAGAAATAACTGGCTTTGGCTATTGTATGCAAGGGGGTACAGTAAAGAAACTGCCAACATGGCCGTTCCATGGTATGGTTAAGGTTTTATTAGGAGAGAACAGCCAGAGGCATCAGGAAGAGTTCAGAGAAGAGAAGGAGAGCAGATGGAACGTGGCCAGCGGTCCAGACATGGCCAGGGCTATCTGCAAGAGGAGGGGAGAGTGCCGGGCGGTGGTGGCGCACGCCTTTAATCCCAGCACTCGGGAGGCAGAGGCAGGCAGATCTCTGTGAGTTCGAGGCCAGCCTGGGCTACAGAGCGAGATCCAGGACAGGCACCAAAACTACACAGAGAAACCCTGTCTCGAAAAACCAAAAAAAAAAAAAAAAAGAGAGAGAGCGAGGAGGGGAGAATAGTGAGAGAGAGCGAGGAGGGGAGAATAGTGGGAGGGAGAGAGAGGAGGGGAGAATAGTGGGAGGGAGAGAATAGAGCGAGCACAGTGGGAACGGTGACAGAAGGAGGAGTAGCTGTGGGAGTGGGGAGCCCATGAGCTAGAGGGAGTACAGTACAGAGAAGGGGTGAGAAAGGCTAGGATGTTAGTGTGGACTTTTGTTTTGTTTTCGAGACAGGGTTTCTCTGTGTAGCTTTGGAGCCTGTCCTGGATCTCGCTCTGTAGACCAGGCTGGCCTCGAACTCACAGAGATTCACCTGCCTCTGCCTCCCGAGTGCTGGGATTAAAGGTGTGCACCATCACTGCCAGGCCAGTGTGGACTTTGAAATGTGTAACAGGTATTTGTGATGCTGAGGGAGCCTGGAGGCCAGCATAGGATTTAATAAACTGATAGTCTCCTCTGGTAGCCATATGTCCCTTCTGCCAGAGGGAAGGGACATGACTCCATTGGTCAGATGGGAACCAGTTTCAGAAGTTCCTGTGGAATGCTGGCTTTTATCTATCTTCCAGAAATCCTCCTATAGTCCAGGATGAGCTCATTTCTGGATATATGAACTGCCTTTTGGAAGTTGGGAAATTGGAGTTTCCTTTGGACCTGACAGATTTTTATCAGCGGCAATGCAGGAGGAAATTTGGGAGTCAAACAATGGTTCGTAAACATTCACTCTCATCCTCCATAGCCAAGACAGGCAGAGAAGAGGCACCATTTATTTATTGTCTAGAAAAGGTCCTCACCCTTTCCTCTCATCATCCCCACAGTGATAAAAGATATTATGAGTAAAGACGAGTCTGCATGGGAAGGAGGAGAGAGTCAAACGTTGGTCCCAGCAGTGGGAGTCCCGAGTGGACCTAATGTAGAGCTAGAGGCTCTCCAGGAATAACAAGTTTGCATCCATCAACAGGCTTGCCCCTCAGTCCAGCAGCTCTATAACAGATCTACTGAGCAAGTAGGCGGAGAATTCTTTCCCCTGGGAGAAGAATCACGGCTCCTTCCCAGCAGCGGGGGAGGCTGGGTTAGCGTGGTGGGAAACAGCAGAATTTCCTCTTTTTACTCTCACAGCGATAGTGCACAACCCAGAATGGATGTCCTCTTCGTAGCCTTCCTTGCTGTACCACTCATCCTGGGTAAGTCTACTTCTGACTTTTGCACTCATCCTTCTGTCGTCAATGGGGTGAGAGAAAAGATATAAAGAGAAGGTCAGTGTGTGTGTGTGTGTGTGTGGGGGGGGTGATGGTGCTTTCTCAGCTGCGGGAGTCCAGGCTTGGGGGGCAGAGCAGAGATCTGGAAGGTGGAGCCGGGAAACCAAAGGCGAAGCAACGCCAAGTCCTGTCAAGGAAGAGAAGGCCGGTGGAGGCTGGAGTCCTAAAGAGAGATCCTTCAGCAGATTTTGAGATCAGGTTTCCGTCACTGTCACCATAAAGCTGAACAGAAGAGTGAAGCGCGGGAAAGGGAAGAAGAAGGGGGCTCTTGGATGCCGGGGAGTGAAAGTAGTGAGAGAAGGGGGAGCAGCTCCTTCCCACAGAGCAGAAGGAAAAAACCACCTTCTGTGAGCAAAGGCACAGGTGTGAGGCCAAGCTCGCTGACACCTGCCCCAGTTCTACCCCGGACACAGAGGGGAAAGGATCAAAAAGGCGAGGTCCATTTTGACTACACAGTGAGTTCCTGACTAGCCCCAGGCACGTAATACCCCCTTCATCCCCACCCCACCCCCCCAGCAAGGTGCGGTGGCACACACACGCCTTTAGTCCCAGCACTCAGGAGGCAGAGGCAGGCGAATCTCTGAGTTTGGTGCCAGCCTGCTCTCCAAAACAAGTTCCAGAACAGCCAGGGCTACACAGAGAAACCCTGTCTCAAATAAACAAATACTCCCTATAGCAAGAAACAAAACCAAGCTGGGTGTGGTGGCTCACTTCTTTAATTCCAGCACGCCAGAGGCAGGGACAGGAGGATCTTTGTGAGTTCTAGGCTCGTTAGGGATACATAGCAAACCCTGTCTTAAAAAGGAGAAGATATAAATGGATTGGCTTGTAGGACAGTCGAGCACTGGCCGCCTTTGGGGACAGAGTCCCAAGAGCAGCTTGGCTCCTTCCCTTCTTTGTTCTCCAGTCTGCCAGGTGGGTCATTGTTTCCCTTTCCTTTAAATCCTGTGTCCTCAGTCTGGGGTCGGAGGGATGTGTTTAGCAGAAGGCCTAGAATTCTGGATTCAATTGTCAACACCACACATTTTTAGTTCTAGAAGGGAAGAAAGGGTATGATGGGTCGTTGAGTCCAGCTGACTCATTTCAAGGAAGGGGATGTGAGGCCAGCGGTGGTAGTGTATGCCTCTAACCCCAGCATTTGGGAGGCAGAGGCAGAAGCAGGCAGATCTCTGTGAGTTCAACGCTAGACTGGTCTACACAATGAGTTTCAGGACAGCCAAGGCTACGTAGAGAGCCCCATCTCAAAAAAAAAAAAGAAAGAAAAAAAGAAAAAAGAAAAGAAAAGAGGGGAGGGAGATAAATGGACTGTTCAAATTTCCGCTTAGTTAGCAGGGAAGCTGGAAGTAAACCCAAACTCAAAAGCCTGAGATTGTTAGTGTTTTTGTGAGAGATGCTGATAAGATCTATCCCAAGTATAACAAACTTGGGAGCATATGGAATCTATATGCTTTTCTAAATTTCTGGTCTCCGTCTTCCACTTATAAAGGGTTTACATCTCCCTTGGGGCTTAGAGGATGTGAAAAGATCTGCTTTCTGTCCTGGGAGTTCCGCCCTGAAAGCAGAGTAAGGAGACTGGGCGGGTCTGGAGAGGCAGAGCAGGGGGAGCTGAGACCTCTGGAGCGGAGGCAGAAAGAGGGAAAACCAGGAGATCTGGGATCAACTCCTTATGTGCTGTTGCTAAGGAGCTCCAGATGCCCAGCTCCATATGTGCTGTTGCTAAGGAGCTCCAGATGCTTTTGACCTGTAGCTCTTGTCCCTTTGCAGGACAGGAATACGAGGATGAAGAAGAGCTGGAAGAGGGTGATTACTATCAAGTGGCATATTATTATTACACAGTTACCCCTAATTATGGTGCGTACGTGAAAGGATCTGAGTCTTAGTGGGGTAGGAAGAGATTTGGGGAATACTTAATTCAAAGATTGCCCTTCACTTTGCAATAGAACAAGAGGGTCAGACAAAATTTTGGCTGTGAGCAAAACCTACCGAGACTCTTGGTATTCTTTCTCAAGCCCGTGATTTTTTTAAAATTAATAACTATTTCATGCTGGGCAGTGGTGGCACACGCCTTTAATCCCAGCACTCGGGAAACAGAGGCAGGTGGATCTTTGTGAGTTCAAGTCCAGCCTGGTCTACAGAGCTAGTTCCAGGACAGCCAGGGCTACACAGAGAAATACTGTCTTAGAAACAAACAAACAAACATAAAACAAAAAAAAGAATTGTATGTGCATGAATATTTTGCCTGTGTGTGTGTCTGTGCACCACATGTGTGCCCGGTGCCTACGGAGGTCAGAAGAGTGCATTGGATCCCCTGCAGCTGGAATTCCAGATGGTTGTGAGCAAAGAGGTGGGTGCTGGAACTGAACTCAGGTCTATCTGCAAGAGTTGCCAGTCCTCCTAACCTCTAAACTGTCTCTCCAGCCCCTTAAGATCATGATATTTTTATTCTTTGGAAAATGTTTGGAACAATTTGGAAATTTTTCAATTTGTAAATTATTTTAGACACTAAGTTGACAATATAAATCTATTTAAAAAGATTTAGCCAGGCATGGTGATGCATGTCTTTAATCCCAGCCCTTGGGAGGGAGAAGCTGTTGGATCTCTGTGAGTTTGAGGCCAGCTTGGTCTACAGAGCAAGTTCCAGGACAGCTAAGGCTGTTACACAGAGAAATCCTGTCTCTAAAAACAAAACAAAACAAGACAAAAAGATTTAGTTTTCACTATTATTCTAAATTATGTGAGGTTGCCATGGAGATCAGAGGTGTCAAATCCCACTGGAGCTACTCAGTATGGAGTCTAGAAACTAAACTCAGGTCCCCTGAAAGAGAAATACATGTTCTTAACTGCCAAGTCATCTCATCAGCTCCAATTCACAAACTTCTTTTTTCTTATTTATTTTTATTTTTTATCTGCATTGGTGTTTTGCCATGGGTGTTGGGTCCCCTGGAACTGGAGCTACAGACAGTTGTGAGCTGCTGTGTGGGTGCTGGGAATTGAAGGGAATTGAATCTGGGTCCTCTGGAAGAGCAGTCAGTGCTCTTAACTGCTGAGCCATCTCTTTAGCCCCACAAACTTTTTGTTTGTTTGTTTTTCACACAGAGTTTCTCTGTGTAGCCCTAGCTGTCCTGGAACTTGATTTGTAGACCAAGCTGACCTCAAACTCACAGAGAACCACCCGCCTCTGCCTCCCAAGTGCTGAGATTAAAGGCATGCACCACCACCACCTGGCCTCACAAACATTTTTCACACTAAAAATAACGAAAAGTAGATTGTACCAACACCTTTTACAGCTTAGGTAAGGTCACGTATTCTGAGCATGAAGTATTCTGAGCAGTGCCTTCCCCTTTTATCCTTTTTCTTTTTCCTCTTCTCCAGATGACTTTAGCGCAAACTTTACTGTTGATTACTCCATATTTGAGTCGGAGGACAGGTTGGTGAGTGACTTCTCTATCTAAGAGCGTCAGGACAAATAACAATCAACAGAAACTGGGAAGTGCTGAAATGTAACTGATTAGCAAGAATGAAAAGCAGGCTGGGTATGGCAGTTCCCTTCTACAACCCCAGCACTTAGGAGGCAGAGGCAGGAAGATTGCCATGGGTTGAAGGTCAGCCTGATCTGCACAGCAAGTTCCAGTCCATCCAGGACTAAGGGTGTCTGAGGAAAAAAAAGAAAGTAATTGAGAAAAGAAAACCTGGTAGATAGAAACTAGGACATGGGTCCCAACTGGACCTGTTAACTGTAGCTGGGAGAAGGAAGCCAGAACCTAGTGACCTTACTAACACATGAAGAAGGGGCAATCAGGGGAATGTTGAATGGAATACATACATAATCCATGCTAGCGCTGGGCCAGACAATCCTTCATCTTCAGTTTTAGTGATGTGGGCCTGGGGGGTGGGGTAGGAGGCTTGCTTGAAGGAAAAGATGAAAAACCCTAAATAGAGCGTCTGTAGGGACGTTAGATGGAAGAAGTGAAAACTGTTTCCCAATCCTGCCGAGGTCAGAACAGACTGCAGAAGGAGGTCACAACAGAAGCCGTAGAGACCACCATTAGTCTTCAGACAGAACTTGTGGACCAGCAGAACCCTGTAACAACGAGACCAGCGAGACCAGCGACAACAGAACCAGTGAGTCAAATGGGGATGAAGGAGGAGGGAGACATGATAGCTCTTGTCCTGGCAGATCTCAGGCCTAGTGACCTTGAATGAACAGGGCAGGTGTTGGTAGAGGGGAGAACCGGACAATGAGTACTTCCACATAGGTACTCTATTTTGGTTTTTGTTGTTGTGGTCAAACACTGACAAAAACGACTTGGGTTTATTTCAGCTTATGACTACCAGGTCACACTTCACCACTGCAAGGAGTCAGGGCAGGAACTCAAGCCAGGAGCTGAACATAGACTTTGGAGGCACACTGCTTCCTGGCTTGCTTCCATGACTTGCTCAGTTTGCTTTCTTATACCACTTGCCCACCGTGGCCTGGCTCCTTCTATATCAATCACTAATCAAGAAAACTCGCCGGGCGTGGTGGCAGATGCCTTTGATCCCAGCACTCAGGAGGCAGAGGCAGGTGGATCTCTGTGAGTTCGAGGCCAGCCTGGGCTACAGAGTGAGTTCCAGGACAGGCTCCATAGCTACACAGTGAGACCCTGTCTTGAAAAACCAAAAAAAAAAAAAAAAAAAAAAAAAAAAAAAAAAAAAAAAAAAAAAAAGAAAGAAAGAAAAGAAAATTCCCCCAAAGATATTCCCACAATCCAATCCGATGGAGACAATCCCTCAGATGAGGTTCCCTCTGCCCAGTGACTCTAGTCTGTGTCAACTATCCAGCAGACCCGGTATCCCACTTGGGCCATGTCACATGTGTGGAGACCTGAGGACCGCTCTGGGGAGTCAGTTTGTCGGGCTTCGGTGGTATGCGCTTTTACCTGCAGAGCTGGTCCAGGTTTTGTTTTCGACACAACTCAAGACTAAGACTAAGCAGCTTCTGCTGGTTAGGTGTTCTGAAAGGACAGACGACTGGGAAGGACAGTTACTACAGAGCGAAAGCTGCTGAGGGGGGGAAGCGGAACCGACAGACACGTCGGGTGATTAGGTACGACAGAAGGAACGTTTGCAGAGGGGAACAGCAGGCATCTACAATATCTACAAGGGCTGGGCTGCAAAGGGAATTCAAGAATCAAGTTTCTGCCATGTGGGGTTGGGGGACAGGAGGCTTCCTTGAAGGAGAGGGTGATGAGGAGAAAAACTCGAAATAAGCCATCTGTGGGGATGTTGGATGGAAGCAAGACCAGCCTGAGGGACATAGCAAGACCCTATTGGGGAAAAAAATGGCCAGGCATGGTGGCACATGCTTTAATCCCAGCACTCTAGAGCCAGAGGCAGGTGGATCTCTGTAAGTTCCAGACCAGTTTGGTCAACACGGCAAGTTCCAGACATCCAGAGCTACATAGACTCTGTCTTAGAAAACATTTTGAGCAGTGAGCTGGCTCATCAAATAAACAAGCCTGAGGACCTCAGCCAAGTTTGGTCCCTGAGACCTGCTTGGTAGAAGGATACAAGAGATTCCAAGAGCTGTCCATTGGCTTCCACACATGTGACATCCCATGCCCTCCCACCTAAATAGATAAATGTAAAAAACTGCACAAGTCCTTTCGTTTTGTGTAGTAATATTATATACATCAAGTTAGGGAAAAATAGACAGATAGTCTGAAATGTTGGGCTGGACTTCGGGCTGATAAGCAATAAGGAGCCTGGTGAGTACTCCAGCAGGGTGAAGTCAATGGAATCAAAATTTAGGAAAACTCTTCATCTGATTATATGCAAGATGCATAGTGGAAAAGTTTATACTGTCCCAGAAACACCCGCTAAAGGGCTGGACTAGGAGAGTGGCGCATAAATTGAGAGCAGAAAAATAAAGTTAGAAGAAAATGCCTCTCTTCAGTGATAATTTTATAAAGGAGAGTTAAGATAACTTACAGACTTTAACCATGTTTGGAGAGGACCAGAGAGATGGCTCAGATGGTAAAGATGTCTGCCACCAATATGATCTGAGTTCAATCCCCAGGTCCCATGTGATGGAAAGAATGTACCCACTTCTTCAAGTTGTCCTCTGACCTCTACATATGCACACACACACACACACACACACACACACACACACACACACACACACACACACACGTACCCACGAAACAGAAATAGAATCTAATAAACATGTTTGGGGAAATGGTTAGCCAAAATGGGAACTATTGGAGACCAAAGTGGCTTAGGAGGGAAGTGATCATTTTGCCAGTCCTGTGGGTGTCCTGAAACTGAACTAGATCAGTAGAGACCTAAGGGCAAAGCTATAGTTGTAGAAAGGCCAGTGACTAAGTCAATGGAGAAAGAGAAATCAACCAAAGAAATGGAAGAAGCAGGCAGACAACCAACTTTACATTATAGGGACTAGAAGAGAAAGCTTGATATAATCACTCAAAAGCTACCGAGAACCCAAAACCTATCTCAAAAATAAGGAAGGCTTGTGTAAGGTGCATGCTTTTAATCTCGGCACTCAGGAGGCAGAGGCAGGCAGATCTCTCTGAGTTCGAGTCTAGCCTGGTCTACACAGCGAGTACTAGAAAAGCCGGAGCTATATAGAGAGACCCTGTCTGAGAAACAAAACAAAACAAAACAAAATAAAGAGGAGAGAAGAGACTGGGATGTAGTTCAGTGGTAGAGCCCTTGTGTGACATTTGCAAGGCTCTGGTTTTCATCCCTATGGTGGGTGTGTGTGATGATGAACATTATGAGGAAACGTAACAAATATAGAGCCACCTGAAAAAAAAAAAAAGCCAGGTGGTGGAGGAGCACGCCTTTACTCCCAGCACTCGGGAGGCAGAGCCAGGCGGATCTCTGTGAGTTCGAGGCCAGCCTGGTCTACAGAGTGAGCTCCAGGACAGGCACCAAAACTACACAGAGAAACCCTGTCTCAGAAAAACAAACAAACAAACAAAAACACAGAACACCAATGGCTATAAGAGGCAAAGGGAACAAAAAGCAGCCGAGAAGCAGCTGAACACAAATGGGAGGAACTGTAGGTTGGGCAAGCAAAGCCTGACAGCAAATACTCACACATGTCTTTAAATGTATAGTGGGTTCTCTGGAGATGGTAAGCCCCTCCTGAGCACAGGAACTACGTCTTATTTATAGCCCCCCAGCGCACCCAGCACAGTGACTAGCAAAAAAGCCATGTATACCAAAGGTAAAACATCGAATGTCATTGAGAGTTGTGGCCTCCCAAGTAGGAAGAATTCTTTACAGTGATGGGGAGGAGGGCTGAATCTCCTTTGAGACCAGAGGGAGGGAAGAAGGGGGTTCGGGTAAAGAGTGTCTATCTTCTGGAGGTGGGATGGGAATTACTAGGAAGGTGACAATGACCTATTGTGGGGGGGGGGGGCGTGTTTTAGCAGAGTCCAGATCAGAATGATGCCATGTCCAGTCTGCAGAGTTCTGTGTCCTGTCTTCTCTTATGGACCCTCTTTCAAGGGGGGATGCATTTTATGTAGAAGGTAAGAGGCCAGCCACTGGCTTTTGTGGGGGTGCTCTGAAGTAGTTCTTACCAACCTGCTCAGTTCTCCTATGCTTAAGGAAAGAAACGCGATCACATTTAGAAATATCTAACCATCTAATCTTGGAGAAATTTGTAATAAATTGAAACAAAGACTTTTGTGATGTCATTTTTTTTTTTTATTCTAATCTGGGAGGACTTTCAAGACCTCCTAGGACAGAGGCAGGTTGAATGAGGAAGACTTTTCCAAACTCCCAACAAGACTGGAAAACCAGGGCTGGTTCCATTCTGGCCAGGTTTGAAGTTATGGCAGGTGCCAGAGGTCAAAATGGGTGTGTGCTACAACCCTGTAAGAGCCAAGAGGCAAAGTTCAGCAGGAGGAAGGAAGCATGAAAGGGACACGTCTTTCTCAACAAAGAGTGGAGAATCCATCTTAGAACATGAAATCTGTGGAGTCTGCACAGAGATGGGAGCGAGGGCAGACTTCTTGGCCTCTTGTTCTTGTGTTTTGGCTTTATTGTTTTTAATTACGTGTATGTATAGAGGAGGGGTATGGATACATGAATGGGGTGCTTAGGAGGCCAGAGGCACCAGAGCTCTGGGAATGGGTTTACAGGGTTTTGGGAACCACCTGGCGTGAGTGCTAGGAATTGAACTTAGGTGGCGGACTGTCAATTGTCGGTGGTGGCACATGTTTGTTTTTTTTTTTTTTTTTTTTTTTTTTTTTTCCGAGACAGGGTTTCGCTATGTGGCTTTGGAGCCTTTCCTGGAACTCGCTCTGTAGCCCAGGCTGGCCTCGAACTCACAGAGATCCACCTGGCTCTGCCTCCCGAGTGCTGGGATTAAAGGCGTGTGCCGCCACCGCTGCCACCACCACCTGGCCAGCACATGCTTTTAATCCCAGCACTTGGGAGGCAGAACCAGGCGTATCTATGTGAGTTCGAAGCCAGCTCTGGTTTACAGAGCTAGTTCTAGAACAGCCAAGGCTACACAAAAAAAATCCTGTCTTGAAAAACAAAACAGAAAGCAATATGTTTTCTTAAACACCAAGTCAACCACCTGATCCTGTTTTTATGCCCCTCCCTCCAGGTAAGAGAAGGCTGCTACTACTCTTCAGACTAGAATTTGGCAAGAAGCTGGATGAAAAATAAAGTAAAAAAAAAAAAAAAAAAGTCTACTTCTTAATGATGGTTTGTTCTAAAGTCAACACTGACATGTACACCAAAACTTGGGGGGCATGAAGGGCAGATTAGAAAGAGAATTAGAAATCAGTGTAGTGGCGCATGCCCAACACTCAGGACGCAGAGGCAAGTGGATCTCTGAGCTCAAGACCAGCCTGGTCTACAAAGAGAGTTCCTCCAGGGCAGCCAGGGCTAGCAGAGAAACCCTATCTCGGAAAACAAACAAACTTGAATTAGACGTCAGTTAATTGGCAAGAATCATACCCTGTAAATAAATCTAGAGTTTAGGGTAGAAAAGAGAATACTCACAGATAAGTTTCTAATGGTCCCATGCGGCTCGGGCTGGTCTTGAACCGAGCTCCTGTATCCAACCTCTAGGATTTCAGCAGGAGTGAGCCATCATACCGAGATTAATTATATTTTATTTGATATTGTCTTGAAACTTTGTGTTTGGGAAAACAGTGCTGAGGTTTAATTTAGAAACCCTTTTCTTTTTCTAAAATAACCATATTGCTAAATATAAGTAAAAAGTATTCGAATATATTTAAAATAATCACGCATTCTCCGAACCCCAACTTATATCCCTGTCCAACTTTTTCTTTTAGTAAGAATATGCATTTAAAAAAAAAAAATTCCCGTCTCTGTTCTCCCGACCCTCATCAGAACTAGAGTGCCCCCTTGCGATCCCTGTGTTGTCTTCAACCTACAGGGTCCTGTTCTTCCTTGGTTCCTTTAACTATGACACGGTGAAACGGATGTTAACGTCTGTTGGTGACTCTGGACTTGCTCGTTTCCTTCCTCAACGTCTTTCCAGTCGTCTCAAAGATAGAAATAAACTGGAGCCAGATAAAGCCATAACCTTGAGAATGAAGGATCTACTCTACTCTGTTCCCTGTGCTGACAATCAGAGAGTTCTGAGTTGAAGGGTCTGAAGGGCCTGGGGCAGAAAAGTCTGGGACGAGTTCGGCTTTGACCCCTAGAGTCTTGGCGGGCTGGCATCTGAGATGGTAACGTGCGTGGCAGGTTATGTAAGAACCGGCTGAAGAAGCCGCTCGGCGGGAGCCCCGGAGAGGACGCGGTGTTCCGGCTGCAGTCCCCACCCTCCTCGCCCGGCAGGGCAGGAGGCACCCAACTAGGAGACGAGGAGGGGAGGATGAAAGAGTGGGGAGTCACGAGGGCGAGCCGCCGACAAGGGAACGGATGCCCGGCGTCACACGTCCGTTGTCACACACGTTGCGGACACGAGTTGCTGAGGGCTCCCACGTGCTGCGCCCGTGCGCGGAGGCGCTCGGAGGGGCCCACGTCCCCGGGCACCGCCTCCATGGCATGGTCTCGCTCTGCACACTCCAGCCGCGCCGTCTCCCGCGCAGCGCCGTCCTATTTAAGGCGACGAGCTCCACCCTTTTCCGCCCCTTCCTTCGTTTTCACTTTTTTTCCAGCCTCCTTTTTATCACCGGAGGAGCCGCATGTACGGGCGGAGCATGGACTGCTTCCCCTCCCAGCCAATCACCACTCGGCTGCCTCTCTATTGGCCGAGCCCCCCGCGTGCGGTGGCGAATGGGCTGTGAGTGTCTGTATCTGGAGTCACGTGTTGCCGGCAAGCTACCCAATGAGAGCACAAGGTCTGTGTACGCCGGGGGAGGCACGTGCGGAGCCGCACGTGTCTGGGAGGGGGAAGGGGCGGGACCCACCGAGTGAGGCGGAGGTGGGTCGGCCAGACCAGCACAAGCACAGACCGTGAAGGAGCTGGATACCGAACCGGGCTGAACCGACAGACCCAGGCGAGCAGACCAGAGCGGGGCGCTCCGGAAGACTGACCCGGACCGAGAGAGTGGGCTTGTGAGGCCGCAGATCTGGGTGTCGAGAGGAATTGCATCACCTGGAAGGCGCGACCACAGACTGACCGGCGCAGGGCGCCTGACGGTGAGGGATGCGAAAGCTGTGGAGATGGGTGTCCATGGGGGCGGTACCCATAGGGACCTTAGCGGGGTTTGGTGCGCAGATCAGCCTCTAGCGGGTGGCTCTTTAGGTCGCTAAGCTCGCTATGAGGTCTGGAAGGGAACAGCCCAGAACAGCAGGGGAAGGTGTAAAGTCGGGTATTCACTCTGAACCCACAGGAAGAAAGGCTGTGTGGGGTCAACAGCTCTGTGGGGGCCGGCGGTCTGGATTTTGAATGGGGGTGGAAAAGCAAGTTTTTTTGTTTCTGTTGAGAACGGAAAAAATCGTGTTCAGAACGCCCCAGTCTCCCAGTCCCTTTCCAAATCCTTTGGCTGATTTCAGACTCCCTCTCTTTGCTCTTCAGTTGCAGGTTCTGATCTTTGGTACTACGAGAGCTGCTCTTCAGCCCCTGCTCCTGGGCCTATGGATTCTCCATCTAGCATTTCTTCGTATTCCTCCTCCTCTCTCTCCTCGTCATTTTCCACATCCCCTGTGAACAGTGACTCTGGCTTCCCCTCTGATAATGACAGGGAGGGCAAGAGCACCCAGGGGCTCAGGCCAGACGCTGCTGGGCAAAGGGGAGGCTCCCAGCCCAGTCCAGGCCCTATCCGCTGCAGACATCGACCCAGGATTTCTAGTAACCAGCATACAGCCTCTCATCTGGAACAGCGAGGATCTAGGGTCAAAAGATCAAGAGACGGTGAATTGGAGACCCGTCTACACACCGGGGGATGTACCACAGAGGGAGACCTGCTTTTTGCTCAAAAGGTAAGAAAGCACGAGACAGTAGTGCAGTGGCAAACACCTAATTGGTTGATAAGGGCCCTAAGAGGATGGTATTGGCTGCCATACACGACAGCCGGAAAACCACTGCTGGTCCCTTAGTCATTGTGCTGTTTTCCTACAGTGTAAAGAACTCCAAGGGTTCATACGGCCCCTCACAGACCTACTGAATGGACTGAAAATGGGCCGCTTTGACAAAGGTAATTAATAACCTGATTGATACATTTGCGGGGGTGGGGGGTGGGGGGTAGTAGCTCCCCTCCCTGTGTGAAATGTCCATGCCTCTTAAATCTCTCTTTTGGACCTGGGCTATTCCCTGATTGCATCTGTAACTTAATTTCTTTGGGTGAATCCATTTTAACCCCCATCTATCTGTCTTTACATATCCCTCAGTCCCCACCTCTGCTTTCTCTCACGCTGGGGAGTGAGCCTACTGCCTTGTGTACACTAGACGAGCTCTCTGCCACTGAGCTACATCCCACACCCTCTGATCACCCTCTCTCTTTCACGGTAGGGTTGAGTAGCTTCCAGCAGAGTGTGGCCATGGACCGGATCCAGCGTATCGTGGGGGTTTTACAGAAGCCTCAGATGGGGTAAGTCTCCCCATTTCTTTCTTCCTCTCCTCAGTGTCGGATTGAGGGAGACCTGCACAATTCTCCACATCTCTTTTTTCATACTTGACTTTTAAACTATGCCGTTTTCACAGAGAACGGTATCTAGGGACCTTGCTGCAAGTGGAAGGGATGTTAAAGACATGGTTCCCTCATGTGGCTGCCCAGAAGTCATCCTTAGGAGGTAGCAGGCATCAGATAAGCAAGGTAAGAACCTAGAACCAAGGAAGCCATGGGAGAAGAATCCAGAAATGGACTGTGCGTGGAGAGATGTGTCCCTCCTCCCCTTTTCCTTAAGCCCCCCCCAACATGGAAGGGAATGCCTAGTTTTGTGCAGTACTGTGATGTTTACATTTAGCCGAGGTACTGGTTCCATTTTGTTGGGATCCCACAAAATTTAACCCTACCTTCCTGTTTTGGCTTACCTGCTTTCTGAAGATACAGAAGGCTTTTGACTCTGGCCAAGTGACTCACACAGGAAGAGGCCTCAGTTCTTCTTTACAGCTCTGTTCTTCCTTGCACCCTCCAAACCCTTCCCCTCTCCATCTTTTGACTCCTGTCAAAATATTCTTGGCCAAACCTCATGTGTCTATAGTGGGTTTCTATTTTTGTTTGTTTTGTTTTCTTTCTTTCTTTCTTTCTTGTTTTTGTTTTTCGATTCAGGGTTTCTCTGTGTAGCTTTGCGCCTCTCCTGGAACTCGCTTTGGAGACCAGGCTGGCCTCGAACTCACAGAGATCCGCCTGCCCCTGCTGCCCGAGTGCTGGGATTAAAGGCGTGCGCCACCACCGCCCGGCACTGTTTTGTTTTCTTTTTTTTCAAGACAGGGTTTCTCTGTGTAGTTCTGGCTGTCTTGGAACTCACAGAGATCTGCCTGCCTCTGCCTCTTGAGTGCTTGGGTTAAAGGCAAATGCCACCATGTCCAGCTAAATCAACTATAGTTTTGTTTTGTTTTGTTTTTGTTTTTGTTTTTATGGTGTTTTGCCTGCATGTATGACTGTGAGGGTGTCGGATCTTCTGGAACTGTAGTTACAGACAGTTGTGAGCTGCCATGTGGGTGCTGGGGATTGAACCCAGGTACTGTGGAAGAGCAGCCAGTGCTCTTAACAACTGAGCCATGTCGCTAGCTCCTCAACTATAGTTTTTAATGATGTGAAAATAATTGACTGAAAAGTAACAGGATCATGCCTCATGAAGAACTAAACATGGAAAATGAGGATTTTCAATACAGAAATCAGGACATTAATTCACTTACACTTCTCTGGCTGGGGTGTGGTTAATTCACTTACAGGTCTCTGGCTGGGGTGTGATTAATTCACTTACACTTCTCTTAGAGTGTTCTCCGGCCACATGACAGGCTGGGTTTGATTCTCTTAACAACACAAAAAAGTACTTTAAAGAAATGGAACAGGAATCATTGTGTACGTAGTGAGAACTGTAGGACTGTTTTATCTTGTCCCTTTCTAGTAGCCTAATAGCATGTGTGACACAACAGCCACCACCTCTCAACTGTTTGTTGAATAAATGGAAGCTTTCCTTGATTGCTAAAATTTTCACTTAATCATCACCTGGCAAGACCACACCTGTTGCACAAACAATGTGTGTCTGCACTGCACAGTGGGTTCTCAAGGCTAGCTAAGGTCCAGGCCAGGGGGCTAATCTGTAAGCCTTCCTACCTGATGCTTTTCTCCTTTCCCCACTCTCCAGCACTTTCCACGCCACCAGAGTGACTCGGCTGCTTCCTCCCCTGCACCTCTCATGGAGAAGCTGGGCCAGACACAACTAGGACCTTTTCTTTTGAAACCAGCACAGCCGTGGCACCCCACAGAATGGCCAGCGATGAACCTCACCTGGACTCACAGCACTCCCATTTGTAACCCTCCCCTCAGCTCCCAAGGCTCCGCCTCTAGCCACAGTTCCTCAGGCTCTGGGGCCAGCATTGGTGTCATCCTCGTCCTCCAGAAAGGAGGCCAGCCCTTCACCCACTCTGCCCCAGGCACTCCCATCCCACCGGCCACACTGTCTCCTGTCACCCCTGGTGAGCTGAAGAAGCCGTCTGGAGATGGAGAGGGGCCTTGTTGCCACAGTTTGCCAGCAACGGTGCCATCAGACTGCAGCTGCACCCTCTGTCCCCCTGTCCTCCCTACCACTGTCGGCGAGATGACGGCAGGACCCCGAGACCCACAGATGAGCAGCCATCCTGCAGCTGCCCCAGCCCTCAGCCCTAACCCAGGCTCTGCAACTGTCCTCTGAGCTCCAGTTTGTGTAAATATATGTTTGTGGTTTTGTTTTTGTTTTTTTTTTAACTTTTAATGTATTTGTGGTGAGGAAAAATACATCCTTTCTGATTAAAGACATTTTTTACCTAAACACTGCTGACTGTGGTAAATTGAAATTCAGCCTTGAATACCATAAATCTTACCCACTGGGCTTCTGAAAAGAAGATAGGGGACAAAAGTGTTTGTGAATACGAGCTCCACAAGGCTGAGTCTGACTGGGAAAAGACAAAACCTGTGAGGGGCACTGGAGCTGCTGCTTCCATAGGGGACACCCTTGGGACACTTAAGAGGTTCAGACTTGAGGTGGATTTGTTGTTATTTTTTTCTGTTCACCCTCAGAAACTAGTGCCCTTCCCTTTGTCTCTCCCTGTGGAATCTTCCAGCTGGGCAGACAAGCAGGTTCTTCTGCTCTGGCGCAGCTCTGCTTTGATGGGAGCTGTTGATGCTTGGGGGTAAATGCCTATGTAACCTGCTGCTGCCTCCAGAAGAGCCAAAGCCAAAACAGCCACGGGGGTGCCAGTTTTGAAGAGGGCAGAGTGCCTTAGAATTGCTGAGGTCAGGACAGGGGCACTCGGACTCTGGGCCATGTCCTTACTCGAACAGTAACCGCTAAACATAAAGCAGGCCACGGAGAGCTATTCAAGTGTCACTGAGTGAAGTCCATGAATGGATGGATCGCTCCCCTTCTCTGTGTCTTTCTTTCTGATTTGTCCCAGTTTCCAGCAAAACCATTTCCTCTCTCATCCTCAGCCTTTTGAGCGCATCAGATAACTCTGTCATCCCAGTCATTGCTTCTCAGCTGCTCAGCATGCTTCTCGCTAGTCAGACGGCTTCCTCCCATTTCTGGTAAATAAATCACCTCCCTTTATTTCAGAAAATATGGCCTCCTTTCTAAGGCAAACCTTATTTGCGTAGCTTAGGCTGGCCTGGAAATCAAGGTGATTCTGGTGCCCCAGGAATTACATGTGTGAAACACCACTCTTAGCTCTATTTGTGATTTTGATATACACACACAATTTTTGAGACAGGGTCTCACTATGTAACCATGATTGCCTAAAACTTGCTACACAGACCAGGACTGCCTCTGCATCCTGCGTGCTGGGGTTAAAGGAGGCATGAGCCACCATGTCTGGCTCATTTTATTTATTTACTTTAAATTTATTTATTTTTATTTTATGTGCTTTGGTGGTTTTCCTGCATGTATGTCTGTGTGAGGGTGTTGGATCCCCAGAACTGGAGCCACAGACAGTTTTGAGCTGCCATGTGGGTGCTGGGAATTGAACCCAGGTCCTCTGGAAGAGCAGCCAGTGCTGTTAATCACTGAGTCAGTGTTCCAGGCCCTCGTTTTATTTTTTAAGATTTATTTTCACTTTATGTGTATGATTATTTGCCTGTATGTATGTATGTGTACCATATGCATGCCTGGTACCCAAGAAGGTCAGAAGAAGGCATTGGATCCCCTGGAACTGGAATAACAGATGTTTGCGGGCCACCATGTAGGTGCTGGGGACTGAACTCAGGTCCTCTGCAAGAGCAGCAAGTGCTCCTAACTCCTGAGCCATCTCTCCAGCCCCTTGGATTTCCTTTTATTTGTGAAACTTTGGTAATTTGTATTTGCTATCCATAATAATTACTCCCTGGTGTCATCAGTTACTGGCTTACTGAAAACACTGCCTGAGCCTACACAACCTTCTCTCTTTGCTCGGTAGTTCTTCCTCAGTCCCACTCCCACTCACACTCAGTACTAGGGATTGAACTTTGGTCCCAAGCATGCTAGGCAAGTGCTCTACCACAGCCTTCATCCCAGCGTGCTCCATAATTGCGCAGAGTGGTTTTTCTAATACCTCATTACCACTCTAGCTAACTGCTAGCAGCCCAGCTTACACTCCTTTCATTTTGTTGCACCTTCCAAAGTAACTAGTGAGCCCACAAAATGAGCACAGGTGTTTTAGAATATACCTTCCACCTAATCAACAGTGAAACCCAGGAGCCTCCACAAAGGCTGTGCTTGGTATCACCTGACGCAATGCTGCCTTCGGAAACTTTCCTAGCTTAGATCTTGTGACTACACACAGTCCCAACTCTCCTCTTACCCAACTGGCAGCACTTTCTAGGTTTCTTAATGGCCCTGTTTCCACCCACCCCAGAGTGTGGGTGTTCTCTGAGGTGCTAGGCTTGGCTTTTCTCTACATATATCCAATGATGGTAACTTTGCATTTTTTATTGCCTTTATTTTTTCCTCAAATTAGATAAATGCTAAACTTTCATTTCCTGTTCTAACGTTTGCCCTAAGAAGGCACACTGAATGTATACATTTTTGCTGGGAAGTTTTATTCATATACTGCTTATACAAAAATTAACAAAGGGGCCAGTAACATGGCTCATGGCCTTTATCTAAAGATCCTTATAGGCAAGTCTTACTGACTTTGATACCTTGATTCCACATGGTAGAAGGCCAGAACCAACTCCCACAAGTTGTTATCTGGCCTCTGCATATGCACATACCCATGCAGGCACAGATACACACACGAAGTATTTTTGTTGTTGTTTAATTATTAGGACTAGAGAGACGGCTCAGCAATTAAGAGCACTCTTGTAGAGGACCAAGGTTCAGTTTCCAGCACCCACATGGTGGCTCACAACCCTTTGTAATTCTGGTTGCAGGGTATCTGATGCCCTCTTCTGACCTCCGTGGGCACCAGGCATGCCTATTTTGAACATACGTGCAGGCAAAACACTCATACACATAAAATAAATCTAAAACATTTGAATTAATTAAAATTTTATAGCTGGGTGGTGGTGGCAGCAGTGGCCTTTAATCCCAGCACGCAGGAGGCAGAGGCAGAGAGATCTCAGTTCCAGGACAGCCTGGACTACACAGAGAAACCCTGTCTCGAAAAACCAAACGAACAAAAAACTATTAAAATTTTAACATTTTCTGGCTGGGGAGGTAGCTCTAAAATAGCACATGCTAAACATGCACAAAGCCATGGGTAAAATCCCTAGCACCCCATAAAACTGGGTATGGTGGCATATGCATGTAATCTCAGCACTTGGAAGGTAAGGCAGGAGGATCAAAAGTTAAGGTCATCCCCAGGTACAGATCTTCTTCCAGACCACCTTAGACTGTCTTAAAAACAAGTGAGGAGCACTGGAGAGAGAGATGGCTAGGCAGCCAAGGGCAGTTGCTATCTAATCATGAGGACTAGCGCTGGGATCCCAGAAACCAGTTAATAAGCCCGGCATGGGCATCTCACAAATATCTATACAGCTCTGAGGAATCTAATGACCTCTTCTGGAATCACATATACAGGAACATGCACCTGTACATATATCTGCACATACATTCGCACACGTGCATGCAAGCACACACACACACACACACCCCTGTCTTTAAAGTAAAAGGCCTGGTGAGACAGCTCAGTGGGTAAAGGCCCCTGCCGCCACCAAGCCTGAGGACCTGAGTTCAAACCATGGGACCCACCTGGTGGAAGGAGAGAAACCATTTTGGCAAGATGTCCTCTGACCTCCTTACGCGGTGACACATACACGAGCCTGCGTTTGAGCCCTAGTACACAGAATTAATTGCCCTCCTAATTAATTAGTTAATTAATAGTGAAATACAGTTAATTTGTAATAATAGTGAAATAAATTAATTTCACTAAGTTAATAGTGAAATACAGGATTCCAACATTTTTCTAGATAACTAGGCTCAAAACTTGGGGGCACTGATTTGGGTAGATGGCTCAGAGGCTATCAGCACTGGAAGCTCTTCCCGAGGACTCAGGTTAGTTTCCCAGCACCCACATGGTGACTCATAACATCTGTAAATCCAGATCCAGGGGTCTGATCCCCTCTCTGGCCTCCCTGGAAACCAGGCACACACGCAGACAAAACACCCATGCACATTAAAAAAATTTTTTAGCCGGGCGGTGGTGGCGCACGCCTTTAATCCCAGCACTTGGGAGGCAGAGCCAGGTGGATCTCTGTGAGTTTGAGGCCAGCCTGGGCTACAGAGCAAGATCTAGGACAGGCTCCAAAACTACACAGAGAAACCCTGTCTCAAAAAACAAAACAAAAAAAGCAACAAAAAAAAAAATGTTTTTTTAATCTAGTAAAAAAGAAAAAAATTAACAAAGGGGTGGGAAAGTTGGCTCAACAGTTAAGAGCACTTGTTGCTCTTGCAGAAAACCCAGCTTCAATTCCCAGCACGTACATGGTAGCTCACAACTGTCTGTAACTCCAGACCCAAGGGATTCAATGCCCTGTTCTAGCCTCCATGAGCACCAGATACATACGCAGTATACATACGTTCATGTAGGCAAAAATACTCATACACATAATAAGAAAATAAACCTTAAAAATAAGACAAAAATTCACAAAGTACCTTTATATCTTATCCCATTTGATTCTTAGGACAAATTCTGTGAGATCAACAGAGTAGCTATTAAGCCATTTTACAAATAAGGAAGAAGATAGAGAGTTCATCTAACAAGATCCAGATCATAAATATTTGTAGGCCATATATCCCCATTTCTTTTACCCAACTCTACCACCGTAGCCCAAATTAACCATACACAATCAACAAATAAACGTGATAGTATTCCAATATTTTATTAATACGAAAAAAAGTGCAGACTCCTAGTTTGAGTAACTAGTTCAAAGTCATATATCTGATGGCTCCCAGTACCTGAATAGAAACCAGAACTCCTTTCCACCGTATTATGCAACTATCCATATAATTAATTTGGCACTTATTATATGCTACCCAGTCTAAATTTGAGTCTACGTACTTTCAGTCGTGCTACAGACACTGGAATAGTATCAACAGTGCCTGACAGAGGCCAGATGCTCAATGCAAGGTTTGTTGACAAGCATAAGGGTGTCCTAGCCTAGCTTCACTTGGGTACTTTGGATTCGGCTTACTACGAGGTAGGCTTACGTTTTGTGTAAGTACCTACTAACTGATGATGCTCTGGATAGATGACTCAGTGGTTAGGAATATTTATTTCTCTTGCAAAGGACCTAGATTCAGTTCCCAATAACCACATGTCAGCTCACAACCACCGGTTAACTCCAGTTCCAGGGATCCAACACCTCTCCTATCTTTCTTGGGCTCCTACATGCACATGGTGCACATACATACACTCAGGCGCACACACATAAAATAAAAACAAATCTTTTAAAGAAATAACAGATGAGGATGTATCTGTGTGTGTCGTGGGGAGGTTTTTCTGCATTCATTACTTCTGAACCCATGCAAATAACTGTACATGGATATGTGGGGACAGCATACACATAAGGTTGTCAAGACAGTGTGAAAAAAATTTAAAAAAAAAATCAAAAAACAGATATTTCTACCAGGTCTTACTAGGCAACAAATGACAACGTTGGCATTTAAAAACAAACAAACAAAACACTTCTATTTTAAATCCTGCAGGCGTTTCCTATTTCTTTCTTTAGTGATTCCACTTTATTTAGTGAAATGGCTTAGGCAGATGATGAAATGGGAAACTCACAGTAAGTAATTTCTTTTTCTTAACTTTTAGGCGGAAGAAGGGTGTGGATCTGTTGTTCACCGGGTGAGCAGATCTGTCCTTTTTAAATAGATAACATTCTCCGGACGCTTCCCATTTCCCATCCAGAAAACGAAACCGCTCAGATCTCGTAAAGGTTTAGCGGGGTTACAGCTACGGATCGGGCTGACCTTCTCGCAGACCCAAGGGCTCCATAGGAAGGCGAGGAAGCTGGTCCTCTGACTTTGTCAGGCGTAGAGTCCAGCGCCTGCGCTCAGGAGCGAACCTTCGCAACGACGGACCGTAAGCTTCCGCAGCCGACGGCGCCCTTCAGCGCCGCTTCCTCCCGCCGCGGGGATTCCGTAGCTTCCGCTTCCGGTCCGGGGCGTCCTGGTGTCCGGGCGCTGAGGCGGCTGGTAAGGTGCTGGCGGGGATCTGGACAGCAAAGCTGGTGTGGCGGGAGGGCAGGATTTCGCCTGGAGGCCTGGTCCCCAGAGACGTAGAAAACCTATTTTTTTTTTTTTTTTTTTTGGTTTTTCGAGACAGGGTTTCTCTGTGTAGCTTTGCGCCTTTCCTGGAACTCGCTTTGGAGACCAGGCTGGCCTCGAATTGACAGAAATCCGCCTGCCTCTGCCTCCCGAGTGCTGGGATTAAAAGTGTGCACCACCACCACCACCACCCCGGCTTTTGAAGTTGCATTTATTTATTTATTTTGTGCGGCGAGGAGTGCGGTAGTCAGACCAACTTGCAGGAGCCCGTCCTCTCCCAACACCATATAGGTCCTGGGCTCGAACTCAGGTCGTCAAGCTTGGCTGCAAGTGCCTTTACTTGCTGAGCCATATCGTTGCAGTGTGAGAAGAGGGATATTGATAACGATTGGCTTCTACTTTCTCTTTTTTAAAAAGTTATTTCTATTTTATGTGTATGAGTGTTTTGCTTGCTTGCGTGTATGTGTGGGCACCACAGAAGCCAGAAGAGGGCGTTGGATCCTCCGGACTGGAGTTACAGATGGTTGTGAGCCACCATATGGGTGCTGGGAATCAAACCCGGGTCTTCTTAACCACTGATCCATCTCTGCAGACCTGCTTGTCCTTTCTGAGATGTGAGGAATCCTTCCTACCTGGTTCCATGGGTTCTATTTCTAGATTGAATAAAACCACCTGTGGTAATGTGTGACTCCGTTGGGCTGTTCTCTTACTGATTTTCCAGCTTCCCTGCTCCTTGTCAGTCTGTAGGTCCTGAAGAATGAAGATTTGAAAGCAAGGCCATGGCTAAACACCTGAAGTTCATTGCCAGGACTGTGATGGTTCAGGAGGGGAACGTGGAAGGTGCATACAGAACCCTGAACAGGTAAAAAGAATCGGAGTTTTGCTTGTGGAAATGTGGGATTATCCTTTACTGAGCTTACCCCCTCATAAACTGTTCTCAGACTGGTCCCAGCCCAGTGTTTAGGCTTTTACACTGTAGCCCTTCAATTTCTTATTGCAAAAAATGAAGTTCTTCCCAAATCAAACTTGATGGAGTTTACCCAGCATGCAGTCATCATCCCTTGACGAACCTGCATGCTCTCTGAGGTTTTGGAAAGAGCCCAGAAGTCTGTGCCTGCTTGTGTACAGCTCCTGGGAGGTGGAGACAGGAAGAATCTGAGAACAATGTAGGCTACATCGACTAGACTGTCTCAGCTGACCTCTCCCTATCTCAAAAAAAAAAAAAAAAAGCTAGAAGGGAGATGAAGAACAAGAAGAACCAGCGTAGTGCATGAAAAATGGCTGAGACCGCTTCTGTGAAGATCAATTCCTTTGTGATTTTGTTCATTTCATGTAGCTCAGGCTGGCCTAGGATGGGCAGGGTAGCTAAGGATAACCTTGACTCCTGATCTTCCAAGTCCTGAGATTATGTGTCCGCTATCACTTACATGGCCAGCTAGAAAAGATGAACTCTGGTTTTGTTCTTGGAGGAACAGGTCAAGATGAGACGGTATTACAGGTTCAAAGGGAAGTTAGAGCAGAAGCAAAACTATAGAGCTAGAGGCTGGAAGGTGGTTCCGTGAGGAAGAGGAGCGCTTGCTGCTCTTTCAGAGGACTGACAAGGATGTCCGGGATCTGACACTCTTCTGCCCTCTGCAGGTCCCACACAGGTGACACACAAAAACAGATACATACATACACTTAAAAAATGACGTAGCCGGAGAGGAGGGGCTCCATGGAAAGGTATTTGAACACTAGACTATGGGATAGACAGCAGTCCTAACGGTGCCGCTCCGCTCTAGTTCTTTTAGGCTTCCCTAGTCTGGCATGCCTCGTTTATAGTTTTATTATTTTATTTTTAGTTATGGGGGGGGGTATGTGCATGAGTGCCAGCACCACTGGAGCCCAGCAGCGTGGACCCCCGGAGCTGGAGCGCAGGGAGCTGTGAACCACGGACATGGGTGCTGGAAGCCTGGGAGCCGCCGTCTCTCCAGGGCTCGCTTTGTTTTGTTGAAGTCTGATTTGGGGAGTGGGCGGGTAGAATGTTGGTTTTTGAGAGGTGGTCTCACTGTGTAGCTCTGGCTGGTCTGGAACTGCTGTGTGGAGCAGGCTGTCCTGGAGCTCCTCACTGAGATCCACCCACTCTGCCTCCTGAGTGCTGGGATGCATGCCACCATACTTGTCTTTTCAGCTGGTTTTTCTCCTATTTCCTTGGTTATCGGTCTGTAAGAAAACAATGGGCTTTATCTTAACTTGAAGATTGCTTTGAAGAGAGAGGTTTTTTTCTTTTCTTTATTTGTTTTTGGTTTGGTTTGTTTTTTTTTTTTTTTTTTTTTTTGGTTTTTATCAAGATAGGATTTCTCTGTGTAGCTTTTGGAGCCTGTCCTGGAACTCACTCTGTAGCCTAGGCTGGCCTTGAACTCACAGAGCCCCACCTGCCTTTGCCTCTGCTAAGATTAAAGGCGTGCGCCCCATCACCTGCCTGAGAATTTTCTTATGTAGTACCCTGCAACCAAGTGCTCCTCCGTTCATTTTCAACAGCATTTTCTACCTCTGTCCATTTTGTGTAATGGCATGTATTCCTCATTTCTACTTTCAAAACTATAAAGCAAACGTGAGAAATAAAAATATTTATCATCCCTTGCCTGAAGGAGGTGATCATCTCTTCATTGCCATCAGGTTACAGTCTTATTTAATCATTACTAGGGGTTGGTTTGTTTGAGATTATTTTATTTTTCTTTAATCCCAGCACTTGATTTCTGTGAGCTCAAGGCCATCTTGCCAGGCCAGTGTGCCTTACATAGTCAATTCCAGGACAACCAGGGTTTTGTGTCAAAAAAACAAAACAAAAGGGCTAGGGAGATGGCTCAGCGGTTAAGAGCACTGGCTGCTCTTCCAGAGGACCTGAGTTCAGTTCCCAGCACCCACATGGCAGCTCACAGCTGTCTGTCACTCCAGCTCCAGGGGATCCAATATGGATAAACATGCAGGTAAAAACATGAATGCACATGAAATAAATTTTTAATAGCATTAATTTATGTGTTTATTTAATGTATGTGAGTGACCTGTCTTCAGGGACACCACAAGAGGGAATCAGATCTCATTACAGATGGTTGTGAGCATGTGGTTGCTGGAAATTGAACTCGGGACCTCTTGACAAACAGTGAGCGCTCTTAACCGCTGAGCCATCTCTCCAGCCCATGAAATAAGATTTTTTTTAAAAAATTATTTATATGTATGTATATCTATGCCTTGTGTGTTTGGGTGCCCCCAGAGGAGGGTGTGGAATCCCCTGGAGCTGGATTATAATCCTGGGGCTGTAGCTCAGATGGTATAGCGTTTGAGGCTTTGGGCTTCCTCTCTAGTACTCTATGAACTGGGTGTATTGACACACCCTTATAATTCCCGCAGTTAGAAAGTGGTGGTAGGAGGTAAAAGTATTAAAGATTAAATAAAAATACAATCTAGGTACTAATAAGTAGTTTGTGAGGGAGAAAGAACTAAATGGCAGAAGTAGAGGGTGGAGAAATGGCTCGGTGCTGAAGAGCACAGGCTGCTCTTTGTTTGTTAAGATTTATTTATTTATTTATTTATTATGTATACAGAAGCGGGTGCCAGATCTCATTACAGAAGGGTTTGAGCCACCATGTGGTTGCTGGGAATTGAACTCAGGACCTCTGGAAGAGCAGCCAGTGCTCTTAACCTCTGAGCCATCTCTCCAGCCCTTGTTTTGTTGTTTTGTTTTGTTTTTCGAGACAGGGTTTCTCTGTGTAGCTTTGTACCTTTCCTGGAACTCACTCTGTAGCCCAGGCTAGCCTCGAACTTCCACCTGCCTCTGCCTCCCAAGTGCTGGGATTAAAGGCGTTCGCCACCACTGCCCGGCCAGGCTGCTCTTGTATAGGACCCAGGTTCAATTCTCAGCACCTATACAACATTCTGTAACTCCAGTTCCAGGGGATCTGACACCATCTTTTGGCCTCCATGGGTACCAGGCACATACCACTTACACAGACATAATTGAAGACAAACACTTACACGCATAAAATAATAAAATAAAAATCTTAAAAGTAAGCCGGGCGGTGGTGGCGCATGCCTTTAATCCCAGCACTCCGGAGGCAGAGCCAGGCGGATCTCTGTGAGTTCGAGGCCAGCCTGGGCTACCAAGTGAGTTCCAGGAAAAGGCACAAAGCTCCACAGAGAAACCCTGTCTCGAAAAACCAAAAAAAAAAAAAAAAAAATCTTAAAAAAGTAAATGCTGTGGGGGCTGGAGATGGCTCAACAGTTAAGAGCACTGGGCTACTCTTCCAGAGGTCATGAGTTCAATTCCCAGCAACCACATGGTGGCTCACAACCATCTATAATAGGATCTGATGCCCTCTTCTGGCCTGCAGGTATACATGCAGAGCACTCATACATGAAATATAAATAAATATAAAATTTAAAAAGTAGATGCTGTGTGAATACCTTCTACCATCTGGCTTGGTGTTATTTCGGATCTTGTTCTAAGGAATCTGTTTTCTTTCTTTTTGGGGGACAGAGTCTTATGTAGTCCAGGTTGACCTCAATTTTACCATATAATGGGGTTTTTTTTTTGGTTTGTTTATTTTTTGGTTTTTGGTTTTGGTTTTGGTTTTGGTTTTTTGAGACAGGGTTTCTCTGTGTAGTTTTGGAGCCTGTCCTGGATCTCATTCTGTATACCAGGCTGGCCTCCAACTCAAAGAGCTCTGCCTGGCTCTTCCTCCCAAGTGCTGGGATTAAAGTCGTGTGCCACCACTGCCTGGTTGCTCCTAAGTCTGGGGTTATAGGCCTGTGTCCCACCCCCCACGCCCTCTCTGCAGCTCTGGGGATGGAACCCAGGGCTCCATACATGCCAGGGAAGCACACTGCCAATTTTAAGCTGCTTCCCCAGCTTAGAAATCTGTTTCCTTCAGAAAACAATAAACAAGTACAAGGCAGTTGGGAGTGGTGACGTATGCTTGCAGTCCCAACCCTGGAGAGGCTGAGGCAGGAGAATCTCAAGCTTGAGCTGTACAGACCCTGTCTCATAAAATAAAAAGGACATAAAGCACTTTTTTCTTACTTCAGTTATTAAAACACCAAGGAAATTACAAGTTTAGGGGCAGGGGGCAGTTTATGTTACCTAAAAAGAAAAAGAAAGGGTCTGGGGATGTAGCTCACTTAGAACGGTACTTGACCAGCAATACCATAGAAAATGCCACATGGTGGCCTGTGCCTGTAACTCTGGCATTCAGAGTCGGAAACAGGAAGATCAAGTTATCCTTGGTTACATAGCAAGGCCACGCTGGGCTACCTGAGACTACCAGAAGAAAGGAAGGAAGGAGAGAGAGATTCCATGGGACAAGGAGGGCTTCAGTTAGATGGAGGTGTGTAGAAGAGTAAGTGAAGAGATCTAGACTCCTGGACTCAGACTGATGTTGAATCTCTTTTAGGCTTCCTTATTAATTTGAAAATTTGAAACTGTGGCTTGCAAAGCAGTGCAGTGAGTGTATTGGCAGTGAAAGTCCCTCTTCTGAAAGCTGTGTTTTAGAAATAGACTGGGCCAGGCCAAAGGTGACACAGGACTTTAATCCCAGTATAAAGAAGCAGAGACAGGTGGATTTCTGTGAGTTCAAAGCCAGCCTGGTCTATACAGCAAGTCCCAGGACAGCCAGGGCTACACAGAGAAACCCTGTCTCAAACAACAACAAAATAGTAGACTGGTTAGGGTGGTGCATATGTGTAATCCCAGTCAGCACAAGCTGAGGCAGGAGAGTAAGGGATTCAGGGTTATTCTTGGCTACATATTAAGTCAGAGGGCAGCCTGAGATACTTAAGAACCTGTCTCAAAAACAACAAAAGAAGCTGCACTTTTAGTATAAAAATATATTTGCAAAGAAGAAGAAAGCTGCATTTCTATTCCTTTTTTTTTTTTTAATGTTACAGAAATGTCTTATAAATTGTATTTTGGGTGGGGCGGGGAGTGAGCAGATACTTTGCTCTTAGGGTACTTTTCTAGGCAAGAACTTGTGAACTCACATGTGCATGTGGGGCCCTTGAGTGCCTGGTCCTCCTTGCCAGCTAAATGCATCTTTCCTGACTTAGCGCTCACACATCTTTCCCCAGCTACCCTCTAGTGTCTTCCCTTCGGGTCACCTTTTCTCCATACCTGTCCTGCTCCAGGCTGCTCTTATCTTTCTCAGCGTTTGGATGGTTCTGGTTTCAAAATGAGTCGCTTGTTTTGTGATCTGATTACCGTAGCAGCACAGGTGAGAGGGGAGAGAGGCGTTTAGACCTTTGCTGTATTTGGAGCACAGAAGAAGCCTATAAAGGAAAAACCTATGTGTCTGTCCAGGGGACTGCCACCAAATGCCTGTTATATAACCAGGGGCTCATTGGAGCCCTGAGATGAGGTTATGAAGAGTAGGGGTTGCTGGGAAGCCTCGTGTGATTGGCTCTCCCCCAAACTAGAAAGACAAGCACACTGGAAGCATGCCCGGTTGACCCCTTTTCCTCCTGATGGGCCAGCTTCTGGGCTCCTTCTGTGTACATGCTTGTTGAAGTAGGCTGGCTACAATGACATGTGAATCTGCCTCCCCCAGCTTCCCCTTGTAAGCAGCTCGACTCCTTTTACATAATCAGTTGAATTTTACTAAAACTGGCAGCTGGTTTCCCCTTTGTGTAAGGTTGCCAGGCACCAGAACTCCAAGCTGATCTGTTTACACTGAGCTCTTCATGTGCTAGTCCTTGAACTACCTTTGCAAACAGAAGCAGCACTAGTAACACCTTCCCAAAGTGCTACCGTGGAGCTACATCGTCAGCGTTTTTTATGATGCTTACCCCACCCCGACTGCCTGAACTGGGAGCTAGAGCCAGGGTCTTGCATATAAGATAGGCAAGCACTCTACCACTAAACCACACCCACAGCCCTTTTGCTATTACTTGAGTTCTTTTGGTTTTGCCTATTTGGTTGGTTTTAGGGGTTTTTTTGTTTTTGTTTTGTTTTGTTTTTTGTTTTTTTTCTTTTGAGACAGGGTCTCATGTATCCTAGGCTGGCTATGTATGACTTTGAATTCCTGCCTCTACCTTCCAAGTGCTGGCAAACTACAGGTGTGCAATAATACCACACTGGGTTATATTGTACTGGGGATCAAACCCAGGGCTCCTTCCCACCAGGCAAGCATTCTACCAACTGAGTTACACCCCAAGCCCCATACTTGAGCTCTACTACAAAGCTTGACCTACATACATCCTTGCCTAGTAGAGATGAAGATGAATAAGTGCTTCTACTATGTGTGGGCATGCATGTGTGTATTAATGTGAGTACTCGTGCACGTGTTTGGAGCCAGAAGACACATCAGGAGTCCTGCCTCCAGCACCATTCACCTTTTTTGTTGCTTGTTTGAAACAGGGCTGTCTCTGCCTCCTCATACTGGGATCACAAGTCAGTGCCACCACACCCATCCATTTTACGTGGATTCTGGGAATGGAACTCAGATCTGTGTCAACTCAGCTATCTTCCCAGCTTAGTCTGTGCTTTGAAATTCTTTTTTCCTTTCTCTTTGGTTGAGACAGGGTCTCACTGTATAGTCCTGACTAGTCTGCAACTCACTATGTAAATCAGTCTGGCCTTGAACTCACAGAGCTCCACCTGCCTCTACTTCCCAAGTGCTGGGTCAAAAATTGTACTCTGTGCCCCGCCCCCAGATGATTCCTTTCTTTAGTGCACCTCATCTTCTTGGCTTCCATGTTCTCTTTCCCCTGGTTGAGAAGCCTCACCCAGCTGTCCTCCTCATTGTCTAAGTAAGTCTGTGCAGCCTGCCCAATCACTGGGTACCCTCCAGGCCAATGAGAGATCCTGTCTCAAAAACACATACAGGACACGTCCACACTGCACAGAAGGAAGGTGGGTGTACCTAAGGAATAACTCCTGGGGTTGACCCCTAGCTTCCACAAGCACCTACATGCTCATGTCCACACAGTCATATGATTGGAGCCCCTGATTCATGGGAAAATGGTGAGTGAGGTTATTATAATGTTCCCATTTGTATCACTGATATGAGGAGGGCCTATATTTAGGTAGGCCCCCACTATTACTCAGACTTCAATCATGCCCCCCCCAATTTTTTTCTCTAAGCCTGGGTTTATACTTGTGGGACAAGTGCTCTACTACTGAGCTATATCCCTTTTATTTATTTACTTATTTTTATTCTAAAGCAGGATCTAAGTTGCCAAGGCTGATCTGAAACTTGAGATCCTCTTGCATCAGCCTTCCAAGTCCTGGGCTGTCAGACATGCACCACTACCATGTCAGTTCTTAAATACAAAGAGGAAGGAACTGCATTCTTCACTAAGATCAGATAGGAGTCACTTCTACATGTATATAATTACAGATGGCTTACCCCGTTTGTGCTTTGCTTTGCTCTGGTTTTGGTTTTTTAAGTCAGTCTCTATGTGGCTGTGGTTGGCCTTCAACTCACAGAGGTCTGCCTACTTTTCCTTCCATACACCCGGTTTCATGTGTAGTTTCTGAAATGCTCCCATGGTTAAGATGCACTGCACAGGGAGCCACTGTTCCCATGGGAAGCTGTCCTATACCTCAGGTGTGTTGTGGGGGTCAAACGTTTGAGAACATGACTATAAGCTCCCCAAGAGTAAGAACCGTGGCTGCCTTTTAAATTTATCTCACAGGTTCTTACTGGGGCCTCTGGAAAGAAGTCAGGGCTATGTTACTACTTCCCACTGTAAGTATACAAACACGGGTGGTTTTTGTCCTTGACTTGTGCTGGGCTGTGAAACTGGTAAAGAACAGTCGTGAGCCACAGCAGTGTCTCACCTCCTTGCTTGTCTTTGTACAGAATCCTCACTGCCGACGGGCTTACCGAGGTCATAAAGCGAAGGCGCTACTATGAGAAGCCCTGCCGCCGCCGCCAGCGGGAGAGCTATGAAGCGTGCCGGAGGATCTACAACATGGAGATGGCTCGCAAGATTAACTTCTTGATGCGAAAGACCCGGGCGGATCCATGGCAGGGCTGCTAAGGCCTGTGGATAGAAGACCCACGTTAATTCTATGTCTAACTTTCCTGTTACCTTTCCGTACAATAAACTCAATCACGTGAACAAGAAGGCTTGAACATATAGAAGCTTTCCCAATCCACAGTGGACCCTTTTCTTTTATCGATAGGAAAAAAGTTAATCAAAAACTGGAACAGGAGCAATAATATTGGTTGCCAGTCTAGGAGAGGGGCCAATCAGGAGTTATATGTAATGGTTACAGTTTTGTTTATAAAGATTTGTAGAAGTTCTAGAAACCATGGTAACAAAAAATGTATATATTAGAGTTGGAGAGATGACTCATCTGTTAAGAGAGCTTGCTGGTCTTTTATAGAGGACCTTGGTTGGGTTCCAACACCTACTGGGGGCTTACAAGGTCTTTGACTCCAGTTCCAGGGGATCTGTTGCCACCTTCTGGCCTCTGCATATATGTAGCACACATACTTGCAAAACTTTTTTTGGCGGGGAGGGTCTTTCAAGACAGGGTTTCTCTGTGTGCAAAATACTTTATACACAAAAAATATAAGATTTTAGTGAATGTGGGACTGGAGAGATATCTTGGCTTTTTAAGAGTACTGGCTGCTCTTTCAGAGGACCTTGACACCCACCTGGTGGCTCACAACTGTCTATAACTCCAGTTCCAAGGCAATTTCTTTTCTAACCCTGACAGGCACCAGACACATGTGTAGTACATAGACATACATGTAAGCCAAATACTTAACAAATTAAGTGAGTGAATGTACTTAATATTGCTGAGTGGTACACTTGGTTAAATTTGGTTTGGTTTGGTCTGGTTGTTGTTTTGTTTTGGTGGGGGGTGTGTTTTGTTTTTGACACAGAATCTCACTATGTAGCCCAGGCTGGCCTCACACTCTGAGATCCATCTGCCTCTGCTTCCTCCTTCTTCAGTGCTGGGATTAACAATGTGCGCCACCATGCCCAACTACATTGCTGTGCTTTTAAAGTTTAAAGCCCATTTTCAGAGTCGGGAAGGCAAGGAAAAGTTCCAACTGTAAAAAAAATACTGCATTTCCTACCCAATTTTTAAGAGCCCCAAAGCAAGTCTCACTGGAAATGCAGATGAGTCTTTTTTATTAAGCTACCCTCCACCCTTTGAGTAGAGAAGTATGTATGTAAACTAATGCTGAAATCCTTGTCCAAAAGAATCCGAAGAACAAACCTAACAAGGCTAACTCCTGTTTCCGCCCTTGAGGTTTCCTGGATGTGCTCAGGAAGGCAGGGGGAAAATGCACTAGCGGGTGATAGAGCAGTAAATGAACAGGAAGGAAGTAGCGGTGCTCAGAGTGAGAGGTAGGTGTCGCATCAGAATGTGCAATGCCTGGGGATCAAGGCCAGCAACCGCTGTCCTGTGTGAACTCACACACAGCTGTAAGTTCTCGCTGTGCCGGCATCTTCCCACAGCAAGCGTCCTGACCAGTAAGGAAACCTGTCCTTTCTCTGCTGCATCTGCTTCCCTGTCTTGGTCTCCCGAGTGGAGCGCCTCCAGTGTTGTGGGGTTGACACAAGCGTCTGTGGAAGAAATCAGAGAACCTTCTCCGCATGGACTTGAGGGGTAGCATTTAGGGTTAGTGAGTGCACACAGCCCCTTGTGGTGGAATGCACCGGCTTTCTAGATTTCTAGCCTTTGCTGTCACTTACTTTGGAGATAGGAAAGCTGGCCTCAAACGTGCAGTTTGCCCGCCTGACCCTCTCCAGATGGTGTTGCAGGTTTGTCCCTTCTCCAGTGGCTGGTGCTGCTGAGCCTTTCAGGAATTTATTCACCTTTCCCCTTTGAAGGGGCATTCAAGTCCTTAGCCACCTCTGAAATTATTTTTTGGCTGCCGAGTTGGAGTTTCTTTCATTCTCGTGACAAGGTCTATCAGATACCTGACATGGAGATGTTGCCACCCACCCTGTGGGTTATCTCCCCCCCCCCCCCCCCCCCCCGGGTTTTTCCATGTAGTTTTTTGGTTCCTGTCCTGGAACTCACTCCCAGCCTCCTAAGGACAGGGATTACTGGCATCTACCATGTCCAGCCCAGTGCACAGATGTTTTCCACATCCATGAAGTACAGTTTTCTTTGTTGCCTTTGTTTTTGATGTCCCATCCAAGAATTCATTGCCAAATCCAGTGTCGTGGAGACTAAACTTGTTTTCCTCTAAGAGTTTTATAATTTTTCACTCTTAATTTTAGTATAGTTTTTTAAAATTTAGATCTTTGAACCATGCAAATTAATGAGAATTTAACTACATTTTTGGGGTGTTGGATTTCAGTATCCCTTGTAGCCCAGACTGACCTCAAACTCAACATTTAGTTGAGACTAGTCTTGAACACCTAATCTTCCTTCATCCAACTCCATGTTTTCAGACAAAAATTAAAAAAAAAAAGAGAGAGAGACAGTGTCTCACCGTACAGCCTTGGCTGTCCTAGAACTCACTATGTACAACATATTTGCCTGCCTCTGTGTCTAAATACTGAGAGTGAAGGCATGTACCACCACTCCCAGCCAAAAACTAACTTTAAAAAATTACATTTATGCCCAGCGGTAGTGGCGCACGCCTTTAATCCCAGCACTTGGGAGGCAGAGCCAGGCGGATCTCTGTGAGTTCGAGGCCAGCCTGGTCTACAAAGTGAGTTCCAGGAAAGGCGCAAAGCTACACAGAGAAACCCTATCTCAAAGGGAAAAAAAAAAGCTACACAGTAAAACCTTGTGAAAAACCAAAAGGAAAAAAAAAAAAAATCTGAGTTCAATATTCTATGGGAAATATTTTAGAGGAATTGGTTTTATTTTCAGTATTTAATCAGATGAGTTTAAAATAACTATTAGTCTCTCAGTTACTGGCTGTGATTTCCTCCATATGATTTTTCTGAATTGTTTCCTCCATTAGGAAATGACAAAAGAAGTCAGGCACAGTGACACACACATGTAGTCCTAACCTCCCAAACTGAAGAACCAGGGTCACTTGAGCCCAGGAATTCAAAGCCAATCTGGAGAAAACAGACCTCAAACAGAGAAGGGGGAAATAGGAATCCCTTCAGGGGGATTAAATGATATATTCAAACATACTAAACGGGGGTACTGGCAGAAGGAAAGATGTGAATGAGTAGAACAGAATAAACTCATATATGGTCAGATTGTTGATATTATTGTAGTGCTGGGCATCACATCCAGGGCTGAACCATGTTAGGCAAGTGCTATACCACTGAGCTACATCCCAAGTTCTGGTTTACTGACTTAAAATAGTTTTTTCTTTAAATTTGTGTGTCTGCATGTGAAGGTCTGAAGACAACTCTTAGGAGTCATTTTCTCCAGCCCCCTCACTGTATCTTGAACTCAAACTTAGGCCGTTGTCAGACTCCTCTGCTTAAAGAGACAAGGCTGCCAACGCTGTTCAAAAGGGAAAGGACGGCCTGATAAACAAATACTGTGAGGGCTGGCTTTGGTGGTTCAGGCCTGTAATCTCAGTATTTAAGAAAGGAAGATGGGGGGTGGAGGTGGCACACACCTTTAATCCCAGCACTCAGGAGGCAGAGGCAGGTGGATCTCTGGTCTACATAGTGAGTTTCAGGACATCCAGGGCTACACAAAGAAACCCTGTCTTGAACAAACAAACAAACAAACAAAAAAACCCAAAAAAACAAAAAACAAAAAAAAGGAAAGAAAAGAAAACAAATGGAGGTGGGAACATCAGGAGTTCAAGGTCTCCCTCCACGGCATATTGAGTTTGATGCCAGCCTAGACGACATAAGACCTCTCTCAAAACAAAACAAATAATAGTATTGGGAAACTGGATATTCACAAGCATAAAAATGAAGTTAAAGCTGGAAATGGTGCCACAACAGTAGAACACCAGAAGTAATTTCTCTTACCTAACTGCATTTTGATGTCTCTTATCTAACCGATATCCACTCCCCCCACCTTTCCCAGAAGAATTTCCATTCTTTTAAAAAAAATTGTAAATCTTAATAAAATAAAATAAATTTTTGTATTGCATTTTGGGGGAGATGTAAAGAGGAACTGCCACAAAGTATTTATTAAGTACTTATTGTGCGAGTGTTAAGTATTTAAGACGTATCAGTGAACAGAGGCGTCAGAGGGCTAGCACTAAGCCTAAGCAAACGTGTATAAATATGGTGGATATACCATACATACGTACAGTACAGTACGAAAAGGAAAATGGCAACCAAGAGTGTCAAGTATCAAAATTAAATAAAGTGGCCACAAAGGTTTCTCTGGGGCCAATATGAACGGAATTCTGCGCGAAGGAGAGTAGAGTGCAAATATTGCAGATTTCTAAGTAAAGAGCACCACAAGATGGAAAGCGACACGCCAGGAAGTGGTCCAGATTCTGAGGCTGAGTAAGCAATGGGAACACTAAGTGTGATCCCCACAGGTTAGGGTGAGGCAGGTCTTGTTGGTGTTTCATTGGTTAAAGGAAAGCCAGGGGATAGCTCTGAGTGTGTGTTCTTTTTGTTGTGTTAGATTAGGGAGACAAATTTAGGGAGGGATGGCTAATACTAGTGATTATAGCTTTTTCGTATAAGAAAGGCCATTTTGAGCACGAATGTGGAAGTCCCCGCCTTTAGTTCTATCAGTAATCTTAGCGCACTAACTCTGGCTGCCGACCGATTTCTGCTCCAGGCAATAATGACTGGACTAATGTGGGAATCGCTCCGCGGGCAGTCAGCCGGTTAATCTTTAGGGTCTCGCTGCGCATGCGCCTCGCCGCCGGCACAAGGATACCGCGGCTGCGCGGCCGCGGCCCCGCCTTCCCTGGTCACGTGCTATGGGGACCGCAGCGTGGCGGCGGCTGTGGCAGTAGCGACGGCGGGCCGTAGGGCGACCGGAAGGTTTCCGGTTCCGGTGTAACGTTCGGGCTCCGTCTCAGGGGCTGAAGTTTGTGAGGTGAGTAGTGGCCCCGCACCCCGAGAGGCTAGCCTTCGGTCCGAGCGGCTGGACAGGGCTCTGTCCGAGGGGAGGACCGGGCGGGAGTCCTCGGCGGGAAGCAGGCTGAGAGGAGCGCCCGGTTCTTTGGGGGGGAACGAGTCCGAATGGGCTTGCTGGAGGAAAAGGGCGGGGGCGGGAAGAGCAGGGTGGGCAGACCGGTGAGGAGTTAGGTCGGACCGGTGGGGCGGGGGCCAGTTGGAAAAATCAGCAAAGATGGAAGCATTGGGGTGCCAGGGGCTTAGAGCTCAGTAGAGTAAGGGATTCCTTCGGAAGCTGGGATTCTGCTACCTGCTCATTCATAAGAGAGCGTTCTGCCTTCCTCGGCTCCCTCCAACCCCCCCACCGACGCTGCCGCCTCTTCGCTGTTAGGATTGAACATTTGGTTAGTGGCAACTCTGGTAACTGAAACTTTCTTATCCATTGACTGTCTCGTTTGCACATTTATGAAGCATCGGGTCGAATTTGAAGACGTCCATTTGTTGGCATAGTGCTTGGGCGCACATCCAGTCTGATAGCATGCTTCACCTATTTGGCTTTTGAAATTGCTTACACTTTCTAGCCTATTTTTCAATTATAGTGGGTTGTAAGTCCCATTAACATGAGGATTCTTGACTATCTTGATCACTGCTGTATGTGTCCTTACATGCAGTAAGTATTCTGTTCGACAATAGTTACTTAAGTATTTATTGAATGGAATGCTATGTCAAATGTTGCCATTTTCTAAGATGAGTAAACTGAGGCTCTGGGGAATTAACTTATTTGCCTAAGGGCTTATAAATAGTGGTGCTTAGTATATATACTATCTGTTCAGTGAGCTTTTTTCTCCGCTCTTGTTAGTGCT